GTTATGTAATTGGTTATTTTAAAAGGTCAGGCATTTCGGGCTAGCCCCCTGTTGTTAAAGGGTAAAATTTGTCTGGTTTTGAAAACGTATGGGATCAATTTGGGGGTTGGGCAGGGGGCCTTAGTGGGGCTGATTGGGGGGGGGTGGGTTTGGGGTGGGGGGGACGGGGTGTGTGGTGGTTTTGAGGGTGTTTTTGGGAAAAGGGTGGGGTGAGATGGGTGGGGGGAGGGGGTGGGGGGAGAGAGTGGGGGAGGGGGGGGGGGGGGTGGAGGGGGATGGTGATGGGATGGTGATGATGATATGAGATGGGGAAGTGATGGGTGAGAAGAAAGAAAAAGAAAAAAAGGGGAAGGAAAAAAAAAAGAAAAGAAGAAAAGAAAAGAAAAGAAAAAAAGAAAAAGAAAAAAGAAAGAAGAAAAAGAAGAAGAAGAAAAGAGAAGAAAGAAAAGAAGAAAGAAAAAGGAAAAAAGAAGGGAAAAAAAGAAGAAGAAAAGAAAGAAGAAAGAAGAAGAAGAAAAGAAAGGAAGAAAGAAAGAAAAAGAAAGAAGAAGAAAAAAAAAAAAAAAAAAAACAAAAAAAAGAAAAAAAAAAGAAAAAGAAAAAAAAAAAGAAAAGAAAGAAAAACGAGAAAAAGGGAAGAAAAAGAAAGGGAAAAGGGAAAAAGGGAAAAAAGGAAAAGAAGAAAAGGGAAAAAAAGAAGCGAAAGGAAGAAAAAAAAAGAAGAAGAAAAAAAGAAAGGAAAAAAAAGGGGAAGGCGAAAAAAAAGGAAAGAAGAAAAAGGGGGGGGAAAAAAAAAAAAAAAAAAGAAAAAAGGGAAAAAAAAAAAAAAAAAACCCAAAAAACGGGGAAAAAAAAAAAGGAAAAAAAACCCCCCCCCCCCCAAAACCCCCCCCCCCCCCCCCCCCCCCCCCCCCCCCCCCCCCCCCCCCCCCCCCCCCCCCCCCCTTCCCCCCTCCCCCCCCCCCCCTTTCCCCCCCCCCCCCTCCTTCCTCCTCCCCCTTTCCTCATCCCCTCCTCCTCCCCCTCTCCTCTCCTCCTCCTTTCTCCACCTCTTCCTCCTCTCTCTCTTTTACTTTTTTTCCCTCCCCCCCTCTTCCTTCTCTATATCTTTTCCTCCTCCCCTCTCTTTTTCTCTTACCCCTCTTTCCTCCCCTCCTCCCCTCCTCCTTTTCCTCCTTTCTTCCTTATTCTCCTCCTCCCCCTCTCTCCTCCTCCTCCTCCCTTTTCTCCTTTTCTTCTCTCCCTCTCCTCATCCTCTCCCCCTCACCCCTTTTCCCCTCTCCTCTCCCCTACCCTCTCCCCTTTCCCCCTATCCCCCTCCCCCTCCCTCCCTCCCCCCCAATCCCTCTCTTCTCCCCTCCCCCTCCCCCTCATTCATTAAAAAATTAATAATCCCATTTTGCTCCTTACATTGTGTTTTTTTTTTGCTGAAAAAACTTTTGATTTTTTAGGTCTTTGTAGGGGGAAGTGTTTGACACAGGGGATCATGTTGCGTAAACAGCATTACCAAAACTTTGTTCGGGTTTTAGAAAGTAGCCAAACAGTGGGGGTGGGGTGGCAGGGGGGGAAAGGGAGAGGTAATGAACACGTGCTAAAAAGCCTTAGCCCAACTGCAGGGTGGATGTCCCTTTTAATAAAAGTTTGCTTTTTTAATAGTTTTTGGTTTTAAATTTTTGACATTATATTGGGGTAAAAATTTAAATTTTTTTAAATGCTCTTTATGTGGGAGGGTTTTTTGGCGATTTCTTAGGAAATGCACCCCACCACTATTTTTTTTGAAGCCCCACATGGGTTTAGTGCTTATCATGAATTCAAAAAATCTTCATTGGCAATCTGCGAAAGTAGAGTACAGAAATCCATGGTGCTGCACTTGGTAGAAATTTTAACACGCTTCTCTCCCTAATTATCTTTTGCTTGTAACCAGGACCATTTTTAAAGTTGCCCTTTTAAAAGGTTTTTCCTTTAACCCTTAAAACGGTCCAATGTATATTACGTTCTCTCGCGTAGTACCCCAAATTTTTTTTGAGAAAAAAAAAAGTTTCCCTTAATAGGAAAAAAGAGCATATGGTACCCAGGCATCCCCAATTTTTTTCATATGGTGCACAGTGAGTGCGCACACCCATTCTCTCATGTCTAGGCAACTCAGGCTTATTTCGCAAGTTGAATGAATGACAAAAGAAATGTATATATACGTTTGGACTGTTTAAGGGTTAAACAGCTTTCATAGTTGAGCAAGTTTTATTTAGTACTTTTGTTTACCAGTAGTTACAGTGGACCCTTGGTTTTCATGAGTCTTGGTGATCGTGAATTTTGGTTATCAGCAATTTTTTTTCTGTAAAAAATATACCCTTTGGGTTTTTTCAGGATTTCCCCTTGGTTTTGGGTTTGGTGGTATGGAATGTGCCCCAGGGCCCGTGCACACAAACCTCCCACGACACATTCAGCGCCAGCCTGGCATTGTTTCTCGGTGAGTGAGCAACACACCCTGCATTCACACAAAACATTTTGCAATAATCCAGTGTTTTTTGTGCTGGCAACTGCTAAATAAGCCACCATGGCCCCAAAGAAAGTCGTTGTGTAGGCCTTTGGTAAAGGTGAAAAAACACAATGAATTAAAGAAAGAAACTAGAAAAATAGAAAGTGGCATAGTGTGGCGATCTTCCCAGGATGTAGGGGAAGCTCTTTTTAAACGCCCCTTCCATCTTGGGGGGGAAAAAGGAAAAAAAGGAAGTGTGTTGTGAAAGGGTAAATGTGATAATAAAAACAGAGGTCACAAACAGTGAACTTTTTGGAAAAAATTGTTGTTGTTTGGATCCACCAAAACAATTAGTGGAGATGTGTTGTGAGTTGTAATTTTTGACAAGGGCAAGGCAGTTGCATGCCGTCTCGTCAAAAAAATGCCTGAAACGAGTGCTGCTGTTAGTGAAATTTTAAAGGGCCCGCAAAGGCTGGTTTTGAAAATTTAAGAAGTGAAGTGGTAACAGTGTTGTAAGGCTGGTGGGGAGCAAATTGGGTAAACATGCGACTGAAAAATCATGCTTGAAATTCAAGGAGTATGTAGAGGCAGAGAAATTTCCCCCCCCCCCCCCCCCCCAACAAGGGTTAATTGTGACAAAAAAGGCTATTTTTGGAAAAAAAATGCCCCCGAGAACCTACATCCTGCAGGACACAAAACCCATGATTTGGTTCAAGAAATGTTTGCCCGAGTGTGGAAATGCCCCTGGAAAATCAGTTTCCCCTCAATGCTTCTGGTAAGGGCAATGCTCCTGTCTCCTCCCGCGGATGGCATTTATGTGAGGAGTTCAGTTTTGTCACGTGAAATTTTTGTCCCTAAAACCACTCCTTTTTTCCAGCCCTGGACCAGCAAATCTTTCAATCTTCAAAAACTCTCACCAAGCAATGTTTCAGAGGGCTTTGGCATACCCAGACATGAATTGACCCCAAAAGAGTTCTGGAAAGGGTCACTTCAGTATCCCTCAGTTGCATAACCCCTTTTTTGGCGGGGAAATGACTTCCAGGGTGATGAACTTGTTGGAGAATTTGTGGCCAGAATGTGTCCCCCAGAAGGATTTTGAAGGGTTTGGGGTGACCCCGTTTGACCCTATGCCTGGAAAAATAGTGTCATATTGGTGAGGTTAGTGGGGGGTGTGGAAGAGTTGGTGGAGGGGCAATGAAAAACTAACCCCTGATGAGTGCTAGATATCTTCAACAGCAAAAGGGGCCGACCTGAGGAAAAGCTTTGGAAGGAGGGGGGGGAGAGAGAAATTTAAGAAGTTGCCTACTTCAAAAATTAAGGAAAGTGTGCAATGTGGCTTAAAGTGCAAACCTTTTTTTATAAAAAACACCTTTTACACAGCTATTTCAAACCGTGCGGGGGACTATTACACTGACAATGTTGTGAAAACTTTAGGAAAGTCATAAAAAGGAAAGAGAGGGACAGGCCTCTATGGACGATATGTTTTGCGACAGAGGTCCAGTGATGAAAACTGGTCCTTGTGGCATTAAAAAAAGAAGGGAAAATAACCGGAAAAAAGGGCTGACACCTCAATCCTAATGGAAAGGGGGTTCCCCCCTAAACATTAAGACATCCCCACTCTCCCCCCCTCCCATCCCCTCAATCTCACCCCCCTCCAAAAAGGTAAGTGTCATGTATTTACATCTCTTTCTTTTGGGGCCCATGGTCACTTTTTTTGCAGGTGAAAAAACCTAAAAAAGCTGTGAAATTGAAATGTTCCCATGTATCTTGGATGTGACCGCGGAGGTGGGTTGTAAACATGCCACCCCCGGAACAAGTGAGGTGGCTCAGGGCCCCTGGGGACATCTGGGCAAAAGTGTTGAGCGGTTTTTAGCGCTAGGTGAGGCAAAATTTTTGCGTTAAAATGTATCGCTAGGCGGATTTAAGTTCATGATGATCGTTTTGGCGAGGGTCCACTGTGTTATATTTTTTAATTTTGTATGAGGGGCAGTTCTTCTTCTTAAAATTTTGCGGATTTCTCCCGGCCCGGGCCTTGTCCAAGTGGTGGCCCGGCCTTGGCTCCCTCTTTAGGGAGTGTCTGAGACCTAAGTCTCCCATGGGAGGAGGCACAAGTACCTCCTCATCTTTGGGACCAACTGTCCCCAGGCCTAGCCACAAGCTAGGCCTCTCTGGTCTGCCATCCCCGCCCCAAGGGGGCAAATGGGAATGACAGTCTTATGAGCTAAAAGCTCGGGCTAAGGCACCTACCCTACCCTAGAAGGGTTAGGCATGGTGTCGATCATGAAGGACAGTATATATGTATTTATAATAAGTCATTTGTTTTTACCTATAGTATTTTATGGGATTCCTACATGGATGATGATAATTTCATGAATTGAGGATTTTGATATAGCATTTATCAGCGTACTTTTATAATAATTTTTATGCGGTTTGATTTTTTTTTTAATGAATGTTGCAGTTTTGCTTGTTTATTGAGCCTTGGGTTATTCCTTCCTTGTACTAATATATTTTTTTTTCTTTCTAGCCTAAAATCGACCCTTTGCAACTGCTGAAATGCCTCAGTATTCTACTAAATCCTCGAGGAGGCATACGAGGTGAAACAGAGGTTCAGCGTGTGAAAGGGTGAGTACCATCTTGTTTACTTTGAGGAGTGTGTAGAAACTAATGCTTCTAAGTTTTTCCTAAAATGGGCCACAACATTGTCATTGTTCAGGTTGCCAACATGGCTTGCAATAGCTGTGTCAGGGTGATTTTTATCCATAACGGTTTGTACATCAACCCACTTTGCACAAATTTCCTTAATCTTTGAAGAAGGCAACCTCCTCAATTTCTCTCTCCCCTCCTCTGAAGCAATTTCCTCAGTTGTGCCCTCTTGCTGTTGCAGATGCTCTTGCAGCTCATCAGTGGTTAATTCTTCATCATCGTCTTCCACCAACTCTTCCACATCCTTCCCACTAACCTCCAACCCCATGGACTTCGCCAATGTCACAATAGATTCTACAACTGGCATAGGCTTCTCAGGGTTAGCCCCAAAGCCTTCAAAATCCCTCTCTTCTACACATTCTGGCCACAATTTCCTCCAAGCAGAGTTCAAGGTTCTGTTAGTCACTCCCTTCCAAGCCTTACCTATAAGGTTTATGCAATTGAGAATACTAAAGTGATCTTTCCAAAAGTCTCTTAGGGTCATTTGAGTGTCTGAGGTCACTTCAAAGCACTTTAGAAACATTGCTTTGGTATACAGTTTTTTGAAATTTGAAATGACCTGCTGGTCCATGGGCTGGAGGAGAGGAGTGGTAATAGGAGGCAAAAACTTCACTTTTATGAAACTCACCTCCCCTGAAATTTGCTCTGGCAAGTCTGAAGGATGACCAGGAGCATTGTCTAATACCAGGAGGCACTTAAGGTCCAATTTATTTTCCAGGAGGTAATTTTTCACAGTGGGGCCAAACACATGATAAAACCAGTCATAGAAAATATCTAGTGACCCATGCCTTACTGTTTGCCCTCCACACCACACACAAATTAGCCCTGACGACATTGTTTTTCTTGAACACTCTGGGAGTCTCAGAGTGATACACGAGTAGAGGCTTCACTTTGCAGTCCCTCACTAGCATTACTACACAGCATTAAAGTAATTCTGTCCTTCATAGGCTTGTGTCCTGGGAGTGCTTTTTCCTCCTGTGTAATGTAGGTCCTGTTTGGCATTCTCTTCCAAAACAGACCTGTTTTGTCACAATTAAACACTTGTTGGGATTTTAATCCTTCAGCCTCTATGTATTCCTTGAATTCGTGCACATATTTTTCAGCCGCTTTTTGGTCCAAACTGGCAGCCTCACCATGCCTTACCACACTGTGTATGCCACTATGATTCTTAAATCTCTCAAACCCATCTTTGCTGGCCTTAAATTCATTCACATCACCACTAGTTGCAGGCATTTTTTTTTTTTAATTAATTGTCATGCAACTGCTTTGCCTTTTCACTTATGATTGCTTGAGAGATGCCATCCCCTGATATCTGTTTTTCGTTTATCCACACCAATAACAGTGTCTCAACATCTTTGAGTACTTGCAATCTGTGTTTCGAAAACATACTTGCACCTTTTGCAACAAAAGCTTCCTTGATTACCTTTCTGTTGGCCAAGATAGTAGCGATGGTTGATTGGGGTTTGTTATGCAACCTGGCCAGCTCGGAGACATGCACTCCAGTTTCATACTTTGTGATGATCATCTTCTTCATTTCAATTGTAATTCTCACTCTTTTTACCACAGGGTTGGCACTAGAAGCTTTCTTTTGGCCCATGGTGGCTTATTTAGCAGTTACAAACACTAAAACACTGGAATAATGTATGCGTGGAAGCAACTGCCCTGGCTTGTAAACATTGGCACACTAACTGAAGGCAGGGCAGCTAAGGCATGCTCAGGCCATAAGGCCCCGTGGATGCATTCCGGACAAATGATGTTAGTCGAGTTTTTCATCATTGGTTGGGCCAAATTTTTACGCTAAAACGCTTCATTAGTCAATTTTATTGTTAGATGTTCCTTTGCTGGTCGGGGGTCCACTGTACTCCTTACTTAACCCTTTCAGGGTCCAAGGCCAAAATCTGAAGTGGTGCTCCAGTGTCCAAGAAATTTTGAAAAAAAAAAAAATTTTTTTTCTTACAGAATTAAAGAGCATATTTTTGTGAAGGTAATAAGACAAAAAAAAAAAATCTGATCAGTACTTACCGAGATACAGTGCCAAGAAGTTTGTCAAAAATGATGTGGTGGCGGCAACATCGACGAATTCCACATACGCGCATTACATTATTTTGTGGTTTTAGTTGTTTTTTCTTTTCTTTTCCAATTTTTTTCTATTCCTACTAACATTTGGGGCCTGAGAGACCAATACTGTATATAATGTATATATATAAACTCACTGTTTTTTGAACACAATAACTGCACTAAAGTTATTACCATATTATTGTTTACCACTGTTGTTTTATTACAATTAAACATGCACAAATATTGTATAATACTAATGTTCTATCATATATTTACATATTTACAATCACTGGACATGATTTTAAAACTGCTGGAGCTTGTGGAACTCCTTGAAACAAGGCACCATGCACAGAGGCACCTTACATTCTTCACACATAAACCGAGTGTCTTTGCGTCTTTGTTGCCGTCGTTTTGTTTGTGCACAGACAATGCATCTCTTCTGAGCAAATTTCTTCTGAGTTGAAGGAAGCTGTATTATGAAATGATCACCTTCTCTCCTCAAAGGCTTGGGTATATCCTGAGGAATTCGAGGGGACCATGTTGTATAGCAGGTGTTGTTACCTGGTACTTCTTTTATGATTGTCTTGACAACAGACAAACAAAATTCACCATACCGTGGTCTGTTGCCAGTCTTTATTTGGTACATATTATATGCATTGAGCATTGAAATGTCCATGAGTGGAAGAAAAGTTTCATGTACCACTTGTAACTCTTACAAAACACAGCCAACAAAACCAATCTGCATGTCACACTTGTCAACCAAGCGCATTGTTTTGTGTATAATAATCACTGACACTGGTTTTCGAATATGTTCATTGTCACTCGATTCAACTTTGCCACTGTCTTGCATTTCATTCCCAGTGAATGGTTGTCAACAATGTGATCTCGTTTGTCATGCCACCATAATGCCATGATGTCATTGGCAGTAAACACCTGCACGTCTTTCACCACGAGCACCTGCGTTGAGCCTGGGCATATGTTTACGATTTAGAAACGCACTGTGCCACACACATCTGTCTTGTTCACTCGCATGAAATAAACTGAGAAATGGGTTTGTGTTACCAGTTTCGGTTATAATGTATCCCCCTTCCCAAGATAAGGTCCCATCATGTTTCTCACTAACATCACCTGAGATACCCAATAACATCTTGGTACCCTTTCAATGTTTTACTACCCGTGTATACAACAATATCCAACACCAGGCCACTGTCACATCACAGGGGTACAAAACAGTTTTATACCCAAGCGTTTCCTTTTGCTCGGTATATACTGCTTGAAGGACAGTCTACCTTTGAACAAAATCAAAGACTCGTCAATTAAAAGATTCTTGAATGGATAAAAGTATATCCTGAACTTTTGTTTGAGATAAAATGAAAACATTTCTAATCTTGTATAAACCTGTCACTTCTGTCAGGCCTGGTTTTGTCAGAGAAGTGCAACATACGTAAGAGTAAGATAAACCTGTTCACTGGTATGATTTCACTGAAGACCGGGGTAGAAATTAGCGATCTGTGGGACCAGTATGCTTTTATATTATGCTTATAGACGTGAGGCATAAAGCATTATTGTTGCAAAAGCAAATACATTTCTGCAACAGTCGTCTCTTTCCACCTGTGTAGTCTTGACTGTGGTGATAAGATCATATTTGCCATGGTGTACTCAAAATACTTATTACTTTCCCTGACAATAATTTCCATCAATGGCTGGTCAGTTCATTGGCCATGGTTCCAAGGGGACAAGTAGGTAGAATTCCACTTTGAGAATCATCAAAGTGGTGAGGCTTGGGAACAAAATTGGGATTTTGCTGCCAATCCCACATATGGTTTGCTGGTGGATACTGGACATCATAGGCTGGTTGTGCGGGTGGTTGTGGTTGTGGTGGGCTGGTGGCTGGCGCTCCGCTTTGTCCTTGAACTGACGAGTCAGCATGGGTCCCAGCGTGGCCTGGTGAGTCACGCATGGCGGTGCCACTACCATCACCACTAACACCATCCACTGATGCCTGTGGGCTATCCATGCCAAGTGTAGCCACATCATCCTCACTATCACTACCTAAAACTGGTGTTGGGCCAGGGGGATGTTACCCCGGGGAAAGTACTCCGTCCCCTGGGCAACCCATAGGGTACACAAACCCGAGCGCATGCGGCGGCGAACATACCGACGCTTCACTGGTAAATATGATTCCTCACTATCACTACTCGATTGATCCCCGAGCGCAATAAAAATCACAGTCCACGTCACATCATCATCATTACTGAAGTCAGAGGCCTGGCCACGCGAAAATTTTTGTTTCTCTTGCGATGAGGAAAAAAACCGACCGTGAGTCACGAGTGCCCACATCAGAGGTAGAAGGTTGAGGATCGTCAGGGTTTTCTGCACTATTATCGATATCCTGGTCATTCTTTTCGGTCACTAACTGATCAAAAACCGTTAGAATTCGTCTTCATTTCCACTTCCATCAGTGTCAGAAAATATCAGATAGGAAGAGGAGAGTCCCAATTTTCCGGGGAGTGAGAGCTGACTTGCGACGAGGCATGGTGAACAAGGGTAACTGAGCCGGCGTTCCCACAATGCTATGCGGGCGCCTAGATTTTTTGTTTATGGCGCGCACCCACCACGCAGACCCGTTCTCTCACATGTAGGCCTATGAGCGTTTTCGCGCTAAATTTGACGGCGCTTGAATTTTGGCGTAGATCTACGGTTTGGACACTCAACGTAAAGCAGTTGATTTACGGGACGGACCCTGAAAGGGTTAATGACCGAGTTCCGTCCTAAGAGTAAGTCGTTAAGCGAGGAGCTGCCCCTTACTGATAATGCAAGCATACTACTGTACTGGTAGTGGGTTTGTGTCAGTCATATTT